GAGTAGACACAGGTCTCCACCTCTGACTCTTTCCCTCCAGCTTCATGTCTGCCTCATGTTCTGCTGAGTCACACTTCCCTCCTCCTCTCTTTCCTGTCTGAGTGTGACATGCATCCACTCTACACTTCCTGCAAATTCAGCGTCAGGCTGTCGTTACGATTATCCATGCATCCCCCTTTTTCTGTTTCAAGCACTTTGGATCATCTCAGTTCAGATTCACAACATTTACAGCTGCACATGTTTTTTACTTTATGTAGAAGGTAGTGGTGGGAAGTGGACTTTTAGGTTTGTTGCAAAGTGGGGAAGTTATTTAAAGAGGCCCTATTCGGCTTTTTGAAGTTTTTCCTTTCCTGTAGTTTGTTATGTAGGTTTTAGTGCATGTAAATGGTCTGCAAAAGCAAACAAATCCCTGTGTCTCATGTCACAGTAGAGGCACAACAAACTAAAATGAACCTAAAATTCTTGCTCATTTTCTGCAGAAATGATTAGGCAAGGCAAATGTATTTACACTGAACAAAAATATAAACGCAACACTTTTGTTTTTGCTCCCATTTTTCATGAGATGAACTCAAAGATCTAAAACATTTTCTATAAACACAAAATAACCATTTCTCTCAAATATTGTTCAAAAATCTGAAAGAATCTGTGATAGTGAGCACTTCTCCTTTGCCGAGATAATCCATCCCACCTCACAGGTGTGGCATATCAAGATGCTGATTAGACAGCATGATTATTGCACAGGTGTGCCTTAGGCTGGCCACAATAAAAGGCCACTCTGAAACGTGCAGTTTTGCTTTATTGGGGGGGTCTGGGGGGGTCCGAGAACCAGTCAGTATCTGGTGTGAGGGGTAGGGGTAGGGTTAGGGTAATGTTGTGAATCGAGTGGCCCATGGTGGTGGTGGGGTTATGGTATGGGCAGGCGTATGTAATGGACGACGAACACAGGCCACTCGATTCACAACATTACCCTTACCCTACCCCTAACCCTCACCCCTACCCCTAACCCTTAAAAGCAAAAGACATTTAAGAACAAATACAGCATAAATACATTATTAAAAAGGCATTTAAAAACAGGCATAACAAGATAATGAAATTAAATAAATAAACACAGCAGGTACAGAATACATGACTAAAAAAGGCATACTGTAGTGTGAGTATGGGCAGCTCAATTAAAAGCAGCGGCAAATAGGTGCGTTTTTAATCTGGATTTAAAAATTGGAAGTGTTTCAGCGGACGTGGAGGTAAGAAACACGAAATGATCACGCTTAAATAACGAGCACCAAAGATAAACAACTGTGGAAGAAAATATCTGATGGTTTGATGAAAAAGACAAAAGGTGCAGGTACAATGCGTAGAAGGGAAGTTTCTTCTACAAAGTGGGGGAATTTATTTAAAGGGGCCCTACTCTGCTTTTTGGGTTTTCCATTTCCTGTAGTGTCATATAGGTTTTAGTGCATGTCAATGGTCTGCAAAGGCTTAAATCCTTTTGTCTCATGTCACAGTAGAGGCAAAACATACTAATAAAATCCCGAAATGAGCCTAATTTAAGAGTCCAGAAGTACAATTCCTGCTAATTATTTTTGATTAGGTAAGAAACACTAAATCGTCGCGCTTAAATAACCAGCACCAAAGATGAACAACTATGTAAGAAAATATGTGATTGTTTGATGGAAAAGACACGAGGTACATGTACAATGAGTAGAAGGGAAGTTGCATCTCAATGAACTTCAAATTCTGTTGGAGGCGTGTGGATAGAGCGTTGGTGTTCGGATCAGGGGAGCACAGGTTCAAACCCCACTGCAGTCGTTGTGTCCCTGAGACACTTCACCTCAAAGTGCTCCTGTGGGGATTGAACACAGTATTGAGTATGAAAGTTGCTTTGGATAAAAGCGTCTAACAAGCATAGGCGGAGTTTGACATTTGCGATTGGGGGGGGAAAACCTTTTTACTCACGTCAGTACACAGTCCCAACTATTGCGTGGGGTGCTACGGATACCAATAAAGCCAGCGCTCACCGCACTCAGTATGACTTTTCCACGCCCGCCGTACACACACTCATATGGAAGGGGCGGTCTCTCCCCCCAACAACAGTGCATTATGATTACATATTATACATAACTGTAAAACTTATCATAACTGTGCACATCTTATACTTATTTGATAACTACTATATCCCTTGGTTACTTGAACACGCTACAATATGTGACCTGCTCCATCGAAATCAGTCGCATTGACCCGAAGACACATATTGAGTTGTATAGACTGCTGGAAAGAGGAGATTCCTAGCTTTCTACTGATATCAGGATTGTTTCTGTACTCCAAATATTAAGCGAAATATGTCACATTATATAAAGACTGTCACCGAGTCATCATTTTGAGAAAAAGGCCTTCAAAGTTTCCTCTTCTCTGGAATCCATCGATCTGATTGGTTATTAGCAAATTATCAAAATACTACGGAGGGAAGATATTTTCGTTTTGAGGGGAAGCTCGCGTGTGTGTGTGTGTGTGTGTGTGTTTGTGTAATTTTGCGTTTGTGTATTGTTTTTGTTTCCAGGGGAAAACCCTCAGGACAAACACCGGCTGTTGTTACGCCTGCTGTGACGTCAAGTTACTCCGTTCTCCGCTTGTAATTATGCCGAAGCTTCAAAGCTGTATTTATCATCTGAATTTGCCGAAACAAGTTTAATATTCTGAAAGCCAAGACTTTGTTTATTTGAAATCAGATGAAAACAAACTGTAACGGACCCTGCCGTGTTATCTATGATTACTATACGCTTACATTCATAATGTCAGCCGGAGGGAGGGGGGCGGCACTGCGGAAGAGCAGATTGCGAGTGAGAGCTGTCTTCGTCCCTTTACAAGCTTCAAAAATGTATTTATCGTGTGATTTTGAAAATAAAAGTTTCATATTCTGAAAGCCAAGACTTTGTTTGTTTAAAATTAAAAAAAACACCCGAACCCCGAAAAAATAGTTTTTTACGTAAATCCACGTTTATTTTGAAATGAGCCGTTGCGACTTCCGACTGATTTCGATAGAGCGGGTCACATATTATTAACGAGTGTCCTACCTTATTAAAATACGAAATATTTGTATTGGAACAGTTTTCGACGTATTAATGCTGTAACATATTTCAGCCACTAGGGGGGGGGCAATGCTACCCCCTGCCCCCCCCCCCCCGCAAAATCCGCCTATGCTAACAAGTAACATGTCATGTAATGTTGTTGCCGGTTTAATTTGTAATGAATGCGGCAGCTTTGGCTCTGTGATTTGTTCCCGAAAACATCAGGAAAAAGTCAGATGTGTCGTTATAGCGCTTCTGATTATGTGGACTTGATTTTGGAGGGAAATGAGCCATAATCCCAATTCCTGCAGCGCATCAATCAGTGATGATGCCAAACTGCTGATTTCTTTGAGTGTTTTTCTCCAAAAAGGTATAATTTGGTTTTGATTACAATCTAAATGTCCTGAAGAACAAAAACATTCACAAACGACTGAACTGGGAAGTTTTATTGTAAAAATCAAAACAATTGTGCATCGTGTGTGTCCTTGAGGCTTAACATTTAAAACATTTAATACCTACTTTTCTTATATTTATGTTCGTCCGTTCGTCTGCTGCTTTTCTGTGTTACTAGAATTGTTATTTCACAAAGCGTCTCCTCAAGGAAAAGGAGAGAAAAACCATCTACACAAACTGCATACTCGTGCATGCAAACAGTGGAGGAACGTAACAAAGGACCTTATTTTGCCTTCTATTTGAATCTTTACAATTTGTAGGTAATTTTATTTTCAATCTTTCAGTTTGTGTGTACAGACAGAGAGATGGAAATACCGTTTCCCACAATCCAGAGGAATACAAATATATACACAATCAACAGACACATTTATACATATGCACACATTAAAGACATAAATAAAAGCACAACAATCAATATATACAAAATAATACGTCTGTACTTCTACTTAAGTTTCCCTTTCAATTGAGGACTATTACTTGTAATGGAGTAATTATGTCTACGTCTACTTAAGTGAAGGATGTACTTCTTCCATCACTGGATATAAACACACGTCTGCCCTACAGGGCTGCAATAGAGGGGTATGATGCTACAATGGATGATCTGTTTGGAGACATGTTTGTATATATCTGAGACCTATAATATATGCCTAAAAACACTGTAATAGGAGACCTTTAACAGCGACCAAAAGCACTCTACTGCAGGTAAAAGTCCTGCATTCAAATTACCCACAGTAGGTAGAAGTATTTTCAGAAAAATTTAACCACATATAGGACTCCATAAATACCTTAGTTTTGTGAGTTTTTTCATAGTGTGCCAGCTTACTTATGTATAGTAAGTATATTTGTTGAGTTGACCAACAGTTGCCAATTTTGAACAAAACACTTTAGAGACATGTTTTTTATATTTTTATATATCTGAGACCTGTAATGTATACCTACCAATAGTATAATAGGAGACCTTTAAGTGAAGGATATACTAATTCCGTCACTATAGCACTCCTAGTGGTCGAATCCTCCAATGTCCCTTAAGCCCCGCCTCCTGCAATTAAGCCCCGCCCCCTCTCGGCTAAGTAGATTGAATGGAGAGAGAAAATAAATCCAGATTCAGCTTTTAGTGCATTTTACAACTCTTATGACCGAATGATTCTAATAAGGGCCCTACAATAGTTCATACTGGGTAATTTATTTAGTATTAAAAAAAAGTATCTGCTGAATTACAGATGTCTCTTTCCCAATGTGAGTCACTGGGGAAAAGTCTTTCTGGGCCCAGTGACGTCACGGACTGATACGGAAATGGTAGTACCGCCGTTTGGACACAACGAATATTTTCTTCAGAGTCCGGAGCAATTCCTGGGGGCTTGGTTTTAACTCGACCCTGGTGGTGTTAAAGTACTTCTTGTTTGTCATTCTGTTGTGTTGTTGTTGTTGTTGTGTGGATTGTGCGAGTGTTTGTGTGTCTGTCTCACGGTTGTGGTCCCTGTGTAGGAGGGTCCCTACGTGATGCTGAAGAAGAACTGGGAGATGTACGAGGGCAACGACCAGTACGAGGGTTACTGCGTCGACCTGGCCTCGGAGATCGCCAAACACATCGGCATCCGATACAAGATCTCCATCGTTCCTGACGGGAAGTACGGAGCCAGGGACCCGGAGACGAAGATCTGGAACGGGATGGTCGGGGAGCTGGTGTACGGGGTGAGAAATCTGTTTTATACACAAAATACCCCTTTAATTATCTGTTCTAGTCAAAGGTGGGAAGTAGTGGAGTACAAATACTTTGTTACTGTACTTAAGTACATTTTTCTGGTATCAGTACTTTACTCCACTACTTATTTTTCTGACGACTTTTTGATTTCTTACATTTTAACTCAAATACCTGTACTTTCTACTTCTTACATGTTGAACACAAATACATGTACTTTCTACTTCTTACATGTTGAACTCAAATACCTGTACTTTCTACTTCTTACATGTTGAACACAAATACCTGTACTTTCTACTTCTTACATGTTGAACACAAATACCTGTACTTTCTACTTCTTACATGTTGAACACAAATACCTGTACTTTCTACTTCTTACATGTTGAACTCAAATACCTGTACTTTCTACTTCTTACATGTTGAACACAAATACCTGTACTTTCTACTTCTTACATGTTGAACTCAAATACCTGTACTTTCTACTTCTTACATGTTGAACACAAATACATGTACTTTCTACTTCTTACATGTTGAACACAAATACCTGTACTTTCTACTTCTTAACTTTGAACACAAATACCTGTACTTTCTACTTCTTACATTTTGAACACAAATACCTGTACTTTCTACTTCTTACATTTTGAACACAAATACCTGTACTTTCTACTTCTTACATGTTGAACTCAAATACCTGTACTTTCTACTTCTTACATGTTGAACACAAATATCTGTACTTTCTACTTCTTACATGTTGAACTAAAATACCTGTACTTTCTACTTCTTATATGTTGAACACAAATACCTGTACTTTCTACTTCTTACATGTTGAACACAAATACATGTACTTTCTACTTCTTACATGTTGAACTCAAATACCTGTACTTTCTACTTCTTACATGTTGAACTCAAATACCTGTACTTTCTACTTCTTACATGTTGAACTCAAATACCTGTACTTTCTACTTCTCTCATTTTCCAAACAGCTGGTTCCTTTAGTCTGAATGTGTGTTTGATGCGTGATCATTATCAGTGTTGGGACTAACGCATTACAAGTAACGCGTTACTGTAACACCGTTATTTTGGGCAGTAACTAGTACTCTAACGCATTACTTTTTAAATTCAATAACTCAGTTACCGTTACTACATGGTGCGTTACTCCGTTACTGCGTTAGTTTTTTTATATAGTCAACAGCCAGGCGAACAGAGATGAGAACTGTACTTAAGTACAGTACTTGAGTAAATGTACTTAGATACTTCCTGTGTCACATGCGGAGACGGGCTGTGGGCGTGTTTGTGTTGTTTACTAACAGGACTATCATGGCGGCGGCGGAGCTCAAGTCTAGTTTCTCCACCTGGAGATATTCTCACTATTTCACTTTTGTCGAGCACAAAGAAAAGAACGTTTTAGTTAAATGTAAGTTGTGTCTTGGCGGGTCAAAGATCCTATCTACTGCCCAAACCAGTCATTCAAATCTCTTAAATCATCTGCAAAAACAACATGCTGGGACGAAGCTAGTAGCTAAGACCACAGAGACTCAGCCGACGCCACTCCACCTCCACCTAAGCAACAGCGGCTGGATTTTAACCGAGGGACTGCTAGCCAGGGAAAAGTCGATAAAGCCATTGCACGGTATGTTGTAGAACACATGCAGGCTATTGCTACAGTGGAGTCACCCGCTTTCAGGGAGCTAGTTAGCATGATAGCATGTCCGGGCGGCACACGGCATATGGGACGGAACACTTTTTCCAACTACCTGGAGAAAGAATATACAAAAATGGAAAGCCAGCTAATATCGATGCAATCCAGATTGCATATAATGCATGTCAAGTTGATCAACAGATTGTATTATTCTCCAATGCAATAACAGTACTGAAATGAAGGCTATAAGGGCATTAATGGGAAACATTTTTAGCAAATAACAAAACGTTACTTTTCACAGTAACGCATTACTTTTGGGTGTAAGTAACTACTAAAGTAACTGAGTTACTTTTGACATGAAGTAACTAGTAATGGTAACTAGTTACTGAAAACCAGTAACTAGCACAACACTGATCATTATTCTTTAGAGTCATTGCGTGCCTATTGATTTGAACACGATCCGTGTATCCATCATTTCCTGGTCTTCTCTAAAGAAGAGGGACCAATGGAAACGTTGTCATGTTGCCGTTGTTCAGCATGGAAACATTCATTAGCTAAAAGGGGTGTAACGGTATCCGTATTCGTCCCGTACCGTCACGGCACACGCAGTCACACGACGAATATGCCTTTTTTTTACGAGTGGGAAAAAAGTCTGTCATTCAGGGCAGCATCCACTACACTATATATAATCCAGGGGGCGGTATTGCGCCTAAAAGCTGTTTGCCAGCCGCCCTTAAACGACACATGAAGAACAAGAAGAAACACAACAAAACGAACAAAATACAAGAAGAAGAAAAGTTAGTATGGCGAGTTCAGATAACACACAGGAGCTAGAACCCACCTGCTTCTTTTAAATCAGCTGTGTGGGAACATTTCGGGTTCCCTGTGGACTACAATAACGATGAAGTGTGCGAGTGGTGGATCGGACGAGTGGGGGATCGGAAGAGCACGGTGTGTCGCCGTTGTTAGACAGCGGTGCGGTATGCTAATGGTAACACACGCCAAACATGCTAAATCATATCAGAAGGCATCACCCAGATTTGCCAATCACCGGAGCCCAAAAGACAGCAGCAGTTCAGCAGCTGATCCCCTGCTGTTTTTAAGAAGCCAATAGACATGAGAGCCGAGAGACCAAAATAAATAACGGAAGCTTTTGGCATGTGTTTTTCAATGACTTTGCGCTCTTGAAACACTTTCTTATTATTTATGAGGTAATATTTTCAAGACATTATTTTTAGCTTTACAGCTTGATGAAACCTTTTTGTTTGACATCAGCCATTATAGATAATATGGCCATCTGAGTGTACCGTGTATGGTTTGTTTTTAACTGTTTAATACAGTTAATTATTCAAAAAAGAGTTCTTTATTTTTAAACTGAAACTTGCTACTGTTCAAAAATAAATAACAACAAACCTGGAATTATGCATTTGGGACTTTTTTTTGCTTTTTCTTGTTGTACCGAACCGTACCGAACCGTGACCCCCAAACCGAGGTACGAACCGAACCGTGACTTCTGTGAACCGTTACACCCCTATTAGCTAACAATGACATTATTGTTCTATTAATATAAAGGGAGGTCAGGTACTCTTTAAAACAGCTGCTAGTTATGGGTACTTTTTACTGAAGTACATTTCAAAGCCTCTTTACTTTCACTTGAGGAAAGAAGTTTAGTCAGTACTTCTACTTTCACCAGAGTATTTTTAAACACGAGTATCTGTACTTCTACTTGAGTAAAGGATGTGTGTACTTTTGCCATCTCTGTCTAGTTCCATGTTGGGGCTGGGTTTGTTCAACCTGGGAACCATTTGAAGGTCACCTTTAAGCAAAATCTACATAGCCATATGTCCCCTCTCTTATTCTAAACCGCATATCCGTACATGCTTTTCGGAAATGTGTGTCGAACCCCCTCAACTTACCTCAGTAATATAAAAATGGAGGAATCATGCAGAATAAACTTTTTCAGACGGTGGACAGACGTCTCCTTGACAGACAGTATTTCCTGCAGAGTTGTACCTAATTGTGTGTTGTTTACCGTGAGGATAATTAAGTCTGAAATGAAACTGTAAACAGGCCGGTGTGTCTCTGGTGGTTTTAAAAGCCAGCAGGAATTAGTGGAGCATTAGAGCCGAGCTGCAGGAGGAAGAAACGGAGAGATGTGGAGGTGTGGAGCTCGTTAAAAAACAACCTCAGAGGTGACCGTTCGATATTTTAGGGGTGAGGTTTCTCTCTGACCGTGCAGTGCGATCAAAAAGCTTATATGCTGGGATTTTACGGTCTTCAAAGACATCAAAGTAAAGAGAAGTGTTTGTGCCCTTGAGCTACAGCAGGACTGAAACTGGATCGATATCCAACTTATTCTGTATGTTTCATTTTGTGTAAACACTTTACTGCTTTAATGTGCAATTTGGGATCAGTACAGTACATTTATTCTTACGTCATCTAAATCTAATATAAACTGCACTATTTGTATCGTATCATCGAGTTACATTGACTTCCTGTTTTACGGCATAAGGATCTTTTTTAACAGTAAAGACTTTAACGATGTTTGATCCTTAAAGTCTTGAGATTTTAAGAGTTTGTTCAAATACAGCAGCATCGAATGGTCAAAGAAAACTACTTCCTTTTGGTTTAACGACTCACTCCAATACGTTTACATAAACTCACCAAACTTCTGGTTTGTAGGAAAGTTGTACAAATACTATAGGGGCTGCCTTCTAGGTGTCGTCGTTGCATATATTGCATATAACATTTTCACCATGTTTTCATGCCAAAGAAAGGGCATTTCGGAGCACTCCAAGACATTCAAAACTCTGATCCTTTAGTGTGAACAACAACCTGGGGCCTCGTTTCTAAAGGGATATACGCTCAAAAGATGGCGTACGCCAGTTTCTACGCAACGTTTGCGATTTATAAAATACTAACTTGACGGGAAAACGTGCGGTCCTCCACGCAAACTCTAACCCATGCGTACGCACTAAGCACAACAACGGGAGAGACGAGAAACTGCGACACAGAAGGAAGAATGGAGAGAAATATGTGGAAATACCATAAATAAAATGTTACCTCTCATTTATCATATATGAAGAATTCATTTTCAAACATTGATTAAAGCCAATCTTAAAATGATTGAACAAACGCCTGTCTGAGACTCCTCAGCGCACACAAACACATAACCTGGAGAAATAAATAAATACAGATATGTTATTGAAAACCATCTCGAATATGTTGTGTTAATGTTATGAAATGTTTTCTCATAAAGGATGCCGTAAGCAGGAGGACAGAATTACGTCTAAACTGAGGCCTTTTGCATTTCTATAGGTTGTAGATACGAGCATGGTTTTACATACTATCACG